CGGTGTCTGGGTATCGTGGAGCCGAGGTCAATGAGGTTTACGGCCCACTACACCGGGACATCTGGTTCAGATAAGACGGAGGACGTCAAACAGCACAGATCAGTATAGGGATAGTAATAGGGGGGTTAAAGGAAGAGGACATGGAAATGGAGAAGGAGGGGAGGACCGGGTGTGGGAAAGAACAAAAGGGGAGTAGGACAGGGGAGGGTGGTACGCTGGGAAGGGAGTCCAAGGGGAGACGGGAAGTACAGAGCCTCTGTAATGGATAGAAGCTGTGGATCAAAGGATGGTGGTTTAGAGTAATCGATCCAAGGTTGCCAAATCAGTAGGAAGTGATTGTGAGTGTCGGACAGAACCGCCGTCAGTTTCTCGTTTACCAATATATCATCCAGGCGATTTTTTTTTTTTATTTTTTTAAATTCTTTATTTTTGGACAAAAAGGGTGGGGTACATTGAAAGAGAGAACATGCGGAGGCCACATGGTCTCACAAAATGTGTAAATAACAAACAGTGAGGCATATAGTATAAAACTCGATAACAGGTTGTAAGATCGGTTCAGGTAATTATATTTGTCCCCGCCCTTAAGGCATTTTATGGTGAACAAAAAGAAACCAACATAACACACACAACAAAATAAGAAGGGAACACTAAGTTGGGGCGGGTGGTCGGGTACAGCCCCACTAAATGGGAGACCAGCCCGAACACGGTCACTCCCCTTCATCACATACTAGGCAGACAGAGACAAACACTGACTCACAAACCTAAAGCAAAAAGAAACGTAGAAAGAGCAGAAATGAAAGTAAAGATTGCAGTCCCGCTCCCCGGCGACCCCCAGCCCTATCATCCCCAGTGCCATATATCCTCCACTAATTGGGTGGCATGGTCGGGCAGCACCTCAGTCTCCCGCGTCCTCTCTGCACTCTATGGTGAAAGCATCCGAGCCCCTGAATTGGACATCCAGGCGATTTTTAACTCCCCTGAAGCTCAGGGTCGGAGTTTTCCATGCTCTGGCGATTGTCATTTTGGTGGCGACAAAGATGTGGGACACAAGGTGTTTCTGGTAACGCGTCAACTGTGGAATTGGCTGTAGTAACAATGCCTCGCAAGGTTCCTTTGTTAGGGTGAGTTGGAAAAGAGAGTTGAGTAAATAGTAGACCCGATTCCAGAGGCTTGCCGCCCGGTTGCATGTCCACCAAATGTGGATCATGGTACCCGACGCGCCACAGCCCTGAAAGCAGTGCAGAGAGTAGGAGGGAATGTATTTCGCCAGGCGTGTAATACCAACGGTACATCACTTTGTAGGAGTTCTCGAGTGCGAGTACGTTGCGGGAGCAACAAGCTATTGCTGACCAGGTATGCTGCCAGTCCTCAAGGGTTAGGGATCTGCCCAAGTCCTCATGCCACTGACGCTGATAAGGGGCAAGGGTGGTAGAAGTGGAGGATACTACAGAAGAGTAGATCAAAGAGATGACACCTGGGGCGTGCGGATCTGAGTTGCAGCAGTGCTCAAATAGGATCATTCTCGATGGAGCTGATGTGTTTTTCAGGAGCGAATTAATTAAGTGGCTTATTTGGGTGTAGCGCAACCATTCCCGGAGTGGGATGGATCTATTGGTACGGAGCTGCTAGAACTATTTCACACCGGAGAGCGAGATGAGGGAGTGTACAGTGGTCAGGTCGTTACGAGTGAGGGTCGTTGGCACCAGGTGGGAATAATGGAGAGTTGAGCCAGGGTAGTAAAGGGAGGTGAGGTGACATCAGATTGCCGGAGTACCGAACTCTGTCCCAAACCTTCAGGGAGTGTCTAAGGATTGGGCTAAGATTAGTGGGGCGGTCAGTCTGGGAAAGCCATAGCAGGGGCAGGGGATGACAGTCCACCATGTCTAAACATGCCCATAGTGGGAGTTTGGTTGTTGAATGTAAAAGGGCTAAGGGATCAATGGTGGCAGCCGTATAGTACGCTCGAAGATTAGGGACTGCAAGACCTCCACAGAGTTTGGGGCGATATAGCAGTTTTTGGTGGTTGCGGGGACGGGAGTTGCCCCAGATGAATGCGAGTATCCTGCGTTGGAGAATGCGAAAAATATGGCCAGGAATGGGGATCGGCAGGGCCCGGAACACGTAAAGCAACTTAGGCAGGAAGGTCATCTTCACTGCATGGATCCTCCCTATCCAGAAGATGGGAAATCTCTGCCAGGAGACCAGCAAATGAGTGAGGGATTTCAGGAGGGGGGGGGGAATGTTGGCCTCGTATAGGGTGTTATAGGTCAGGGTCAGGCGGATGCCCAGGTATTTAAGGGAGGGGGCCCAGGTGATCGGGAAGGAGAGCTTGAGTGCGGCTAGTGTTGCAGACGTCAAGGAGACATCAAGAGCTTGGGATTTGGATTGGTTGACCCGTAAGTCTGAGATGAGTGCGAAGTCTGAGAGTGCTTTAAGGAGGTTCGGGAGGGAAAGGAGGGGGTTAGTCAAAGACAGGAGGACATCATCAGCGAAGAGGGATATTTTGTGGTGAGGCCCTGAATATCGGGGTTGGATCTGATGTATTCCGCCAAGGGTTCGAGGGCAAGGGCAAAAAGGATGGGTGACAGGGGGCAACCTTGGCGAGTGCCGCGCACTATCGGGAAAAGAGACGATTCAAAGCCACAGTACTTAAGCTTGGCCTGGGGCGAGGCATACAGGGCTGGGACCCAGGATATAAAGTGGGAGCCAAAGCCCCAGTGGCGGAGAACCTCAAAGAGATACGGCCAAGGGAGCATGTCGAAGGCCTTGGAAATGTCCAAGGACAGCAACATCATTTCTCTGGAGCGTAATTTGGCTAAATGCATCAGGTGTAGGGCCCTCCGGACCCCGTCCCCGGCCTGTCTGGATGGCATGAAGCCGACCTGATCTTTTTTGATTAGGGACCCTAAAAATTGGTTACAGCGGGAGGTGAGAATGTTAGAAAGCTCTTAACGTCTACATTTATTAAGGAAATAGGGCGATAATTGGTCCAGGAGTGGGGATCTCTATCTGGCTTAGGTATCATTACAACGTTCGCTGTGAGCATGTGTGGGGACATGGAGTCGCCCTTCGGGAGACCATTAAAGAGGGAGGCCAAGGGGGCGGATAAATCTTCATATAGTTTTTTATAGTTGGGGATCTCTATCTGGCTTAGGTATCATTACAACGTTCGCTGTGAGCATGTGTGGGGACATGGAGTCGCCCTTCGGGAGACCATTAAAGAGGGAGGCCAAGTGGGGGGATAAATCTTCAGATAGTTTTTTATAGAAAAGGACGGGGAATCCATCCGGGCCCGGACATTTACCCGTTTTGAAGGCCTTAATGGCTTGTTGGACTTCGATGGCAGAGATTTCCGACTCCATGAGGTACCTACCGGCTTGTGGGATATCTGGAAGGGTAATTCGGGAGAGAAATTTGCGGATAGTATCGAGTGAGGAGGCGGAAGGGGTCGAGTAAATCTTGGAGAGATGGTGGTGGAATTCAGATAGGATTTTTGTGGGGTCACTAGTGCAGGTGGCCAGCCTGGTGCGGAGGGAGATTGGGGTTGGGACACTATCAAACGTCCGCAGGCGTTTGGCTAGCATAGAGTCGGGTTTGTTGCCCTTCGCGTAGAATTTCTGTTTCGTCCAACGCAGGGAACGTTCGGCCCTATCCGTGAGGCAGAGGTCAAGCGCAGCCCGTGTCGACGCCAGTAATGTGCGGTTAGTGGTCGTGGGGTTGGACTTAAAGGCCCGAGACCTCTGGTCCAGTTCCGTCTCGAGACTCTGAATGCGCTGGTTGCGAACCCTCTTTCGTTTAGATGCTATTTGAATCAGGTGGCCACGTATGACCGACTTATAGGCTTCCCAGACTAGCGATTCAGAGGGGACCGACCCCGCGTTGAGCTGAAAGTAGTCAATGGTACGCATGCGGATTTCCGTGAGTATAGGATAGCGAGAACAGCGATTCATTTAAGGACCAGGGGGGCATGCTTAGGACGGAGGAGCACACTACGAGCACTGCATCATGATCCGACCAGGGTATAAGGAGAATGTGAGAGGAGGAGGCTAGAGAGAGGGAGCGCCGTTGGAGAAAGGCATGATCGATACGAGAGTGGGAGCGATGGGGGTTAGAATAGAAGGTGTAGTCTCTTCCCATGGGGTGGCGATCTCGCCACACGTCCACTAGGTTATGCTGGAGGAGCAATTGTTGAAAGCATTGGCTGTGGGGGAATTGTGCAGTGGGACCTGGGGGGTATTTATCTAGTTGGGCACGGAGAATCAGGTTGGAGTCCCCACATAGGAAAAGAGTACCTTTTGCATGCTCAATGAGCAGAGGTGAGTGAGAAAAGGAATTGGGTTTGTATTAGGCGCATAATAGGTGAGAACCGTGATGTCAGTATCATTAAGTCTGCCCGTCAAGAGAAGGTACCGTCCCTCTGGGTCTGCTATCTGCTTAGTGCAAACAAAGTTCGCTGTTTTACGGAAAGCTATGAGGACACCGTGTGTTTTCGTGGAGGCATTGGCTTGATATACGGATGGGAAGAAAGCATCAATATATTTGGGGGCACTTGAGGTCGAGAAATGCGTTTCTTGAAAGCAGGCCATGTCAATATGGTGGCTGCGGAGGTAGCGAAAGGCTTTCGTTCGTTTCTGGGGGGAGTTAACGCCCTGCACATTCAGGGAGAGCCAGCGGAGCGGCATCGTGCCGCTCGGGGCTGGTGACCAAAGCAGGGACTTGTGTCTTTTTTCAACCTGACTAACTATGTAACTATGGAATAGTTCCTGTATTTCCAAATTATTAATGTCTGTGCATACTTGGCTTGTACTTGATAGTCCATATCCCCTATGTCTTGTTTCATGCTTTTTTTTTTTTCTATTTTTGTATGTCTATTCCTAAATAAATAGATTGACCCTAAACAGCATTTGAAATTGTTTAAAAACATTTTGACTTTAATATCATTTTAAGTGCTTTCCCTCCTTTTTAATGTTTTTGCTAACTTGTCTTTTTTTTTTTTTTAGAAACTCCCTTGGCTAAACCGAAGCAAAGAAGTTGTGGAAGAATTTCTGTCTTTTTTGGGCAATCTTGTGTCAGCTCAGACTGTATATCTAAGATCTTGCATGAATATGATTGTCTCGCATTTTCTACCATGTAAGGCTAATTTTTTTTATGCAAGTTTTTATGTTTGTCAATGTCTAACTATCTAATGCAGCTATAGGCAGAATGTTCATAAACATATACCATATAATGATAAACTTGTATTGGCTAAATGAACCTTGCTGGCTTCTAGTTTTGCCTGTAGTAACTTTTCCAAAAATGTACCTCCATAAAGTTTGGAGTTTCCTTTATTGGATAACTTAAGTTATAAAAGATACAAACTTTTGGGAAGCCTTAGATTCCTTCTTTAAGCTATATAATTTACTTGTAAAACTGAGGAAAACATGACACTAGCTATATCACAAAGTAACACATTTTTAGACATTTTGTTAAATATGTTAAGTTGATAACTTGCTTTACCTGAGCAAAACAAAAGAATGGGGTTACAAGGGGATATTACTTGGTGGTAATTTGTATTTAGAATGTTGAAGAATGTTTGTATGAATTAGTGCTGCAGCTAACGATTATTTTCATAATCGATTAGTTAGCCAATTAACTTTGATCGGATAAAATAAAAAAAATGAATGTCATTTATTTAAAATAAAATACACAAGTACAGCACTACAAACTGTACTGCACTGGAACGCAGGGCATTACAGTACTGCACGTTCCAGTGTGGGCAATCGCATTGTGAACGGGAGGTGCATTTGGGATACATTAAAATTAATGGCACCACAACGCTCCTCCTG